CAGGCACGCACTACCACGCCCGGCTGATTTTTTGATTTATTGTAGAGATGAGGTCTCGCTGCCCAGGCGGGTCTCAAACCCGTGGGCTCAGGCAATCTACTCACCTCAGCCTCCCAAAGGCGGGGGATTACAGGCTGAGCCACCGAGCCCAGCTTGGTGTTCTTTACTTTATGAAATTAAGGAGATAGTAGAACACAGTTGGAATTCATAAAATTTTCGTCATTAGATAAATTAAAAATTGGTCACTCTATGTTGGTGACCAAAATTTTATTTTTTAAATTAGTCCATATATGCAAAGGTCTCAGAACCACTGATGTAAGAGTGAGGAGTTAGGTTGTGATGCCAGCACTCTCTGAGAGGCCTCGGGAACATGCAGAACATCACTGTCTGTGTTAACAAGCTCATCATGTGGAAACAAAGGCCCAAGTGTTTGAGGCCACATGTTCTCTGAAGTCTGTTCAGAGTCTGTCTCTGAAGTCTGTTCTAGGTTTCTATGATTCTGAATGTAAAAAATTTAAACCATGGCATGGGCAAGATGTGAAGATATATTTAAGGTGCAAAAACTCTTTATCCTAAAATGCAGGTTTGAGATGATATATTTTGAGTCTCACCTGTTATTTGAATGAATTATGAAATAACTTCAAATATCCAATAAGAGAAAAGGAGTAGGTGCTCTAACGATAAAAAAGAAAGTATCCCCCTTCCTAGAAAATTTCAAGATTTTCCACCTGCAGTTAAAATTAAAAATAAAAAAGTAGGCAACACACTCTTACAATATATAAAAAATGAATATGTACAGTGACAAAGATTAGAAGTGAGGTTGGAAGTATGGGCTTTTTGTGTGTTTTTTAAGATGGGGTCTCACTCTGTCGCCCAGGCTGGAGCACAGTGGCATAATCACAACCCACCACAGTCTCAAACTCCTGGGCTCAAGAATTCTCTTGCCTTGGCCTCCCAAGTAGCTGGGACTATAGGCGCATGCCACCATATCCAGCTAATTTTTTGTAGAGACGAGGTCTCATTATGTTGCCCAGGCTGATCTTGAACTCCTAGGCTCAAGCAATTATCCTGCCTCAACAAAGTGCTGAGATTACTGGCATGAGCCACCACGCCTGGTGGGAGTATGATTTAAAGCTCATTTGGGTCTTTTTTCCATAGAACTACCTAAATTCAGTACAATAACAAGGGAAATGCCATATGGAAAACAATATAGAAACACACACATCCGGTCCTATTGGAGCATTCTTCATCCCTCCATTGCTAAGATGGTCGTCCACAGCTAGAGTCCACAGGTCAGCAAGATAAGAGCAGCCTTAATTGGAAGTTCACCCGCAAAAGAACCTGTCTTTTCTGATTTAAGGAGTCAGTACCAGGCGGCCTCTGGTAGTGAATTAGTTTCTGACTATCACTCCTGCCCTGCCCTCAAGCTGCCTCCTTGGGGTTGCCTTAGCAACCAAGTACCCTGTCATGTCACACACCCTACTCTGCATCCAGATCTCTGTCCTTGCTCGGGCATAGCAACCCACAGCTAGAGAGAGGGAGCGGGAAAAAGAAATGCAAGGGGACAGGTGATGAAACAATAGGAGATGAGGGTTCCAAGCCACTTCTCCTTTCCCTGCTTTGGTATTCTGGGTTAGCTAGGAAACTCTAGCCAACAATAGCTCTTGGGTAGATATCTGAGAAGGAGCCAGTGCTTTAAGGGCCTGTCATTTTCAGTTGAATTCAGCTCAGAAAACATTAACTAGGTGCCCATCATGTCCTATACCTGGTGCTGAGTAAACAGAGATCAACGAAATACTATCCCTAATGCTTAAGCAGCTTCTCATCTTCCTGTATTTCATGCCCACTGAGCAGGTAGGTTCGGAACTGCAAGTAAAGCTCCGAGTCCCTAAGGATTAAAAAAGGCCTCTGAATCCAAAGAAGCAAGGGTCTACTGTGGGAAACAGGCTCTAAGAAACACAGGAGACTGGGCGTGGTGGCTCACATCTGCAATCCCAGCACTTTGGGAGGCAGAGGCAAGAAGATAGCCTGGGCAACTTGGTGGGAATTTGTCTCTACAATAAATAAAAAAAAAATTAGCTGGACATGGTGGCGTGTACCTGTAGCTCCAACTACTTGGAAGGCTGAGGTGGAAGGATTGCCGGAACTCAGCAGGTCAAGGCTGCAGTGGTCACGAGCGTGCCACTGCACTCCAGCCTGGGTGATACAGTGAGACTCCAACTCAAAAAACATAAAGGGGTGCAGTCCCTTCGGGTCCCCTCCCATGGTGGGAGCTTTTCTGTCCTCTCAATAAATCCTGCTTTCAAAAAATAAAAATAAAAAATAAAGGGAGCAGCAAATGGCAAAAACCAAAAGCTCAATGGAGAAAGCAAGGATTTCTCAACACATCACTGCCAGCTGGCCCACAACTATCACCCACCAAGTGTTCCATCAAGCTGGAAGGAAGAATGAGCCCATGCCACTTAATCCTTTCCTCCTCCTTGTCATCTCCACACATAGAGAAGGAACAAGAGGACGAAGGAGAAGCAGAACAACCTCCATACTAGCCTCAGTTCTTGACTTTCTCCTCTCTGTTCTAGGCAGGTAAGAATTCTACTGAGCGGGTTACCTGAGGTTTAGGCAGCAAGAACAGCTACTGCTATGTTAGGAGACTGACCAAGAGGTATAGGAAACATCCAGCACACATGAAGAAATGGTGGTACCTACTACTAAGTGATTCTGAATAGAAAGTTTGCTGACTGATCCTGAAACTACTGTCTGATGAGGCTTCAGAGCTCAGCTACTTCTCTGAGGGACTAGTATATACTTGCCGTCACTGCTTATTTCCACTAGCTCGGCTTTCTTTTCTTCGTAGAAGTATTCATCATCAGAATCCGAGTCAATCACCACGTAGCTGAGTGATGAGATTGGGGAAAACCAAGATAAATATGAATGTAACATCTTCTTTTCATGGCATTTTTCACCCTTTCTACAATAAATATGATCAATTTTTTGTCTGTTTCCCGCAGTTACTCTGTTCCCCTTCTTTGGAACTTCTCAGTCTTTCCATTATCCCCACTTTTCCATCTTTACCATCTTTCTACTGCATCTTTCCATGTCTCACGTCCCTCCAAAAGGAGGTACCTGTCACATACATGAAATGGGCTGTCAGACTGTGTGTATTCAAATAGCTTTGGCGCAGGGAGAAAAAAAATCAATCAAGGAAATGTTTAGTAATTGTTTTTTCTTTATCAAGTTTGAGATTCAGTTGTCTGGCAAGGGTAGAGGGTCACAGATGAAGAGAGGCAGCCTGTGAGCAGAGAGGTTTCTCCACAGTACCACTCTCTGTAGCCCAAAACCAGCACCCGCACCCCCTTCTCAGATTGACAGATTGCTTTGATAGGAGTCAAATTCAGCAGTGCCCCTGTACCATCCAGGGTGCCAAAGGTCCTCATTATCAGCTGGCCCTGGTATTTGGGTCAGAAGTTCTGGCAGGTTGAAATTTGCTGCCCTCCTATATTTTCCAAACAGCATATCATAGATAAAATACTTTGGTTTTTTTGAGTCGGAGTCTCACTCTGTCACCCAGACCGGAGTGCAGTGGCATGCTCATGGCCACCACAGCCTCAACCTGCTGGGCTCAGGTGATCCTTCTGCCTAAACCTTCCAAGTAGCTGGAACTACAGGCACGTGCCACCACGCCCGGCTAATTTTTTTATTTGTTGTAGAGATGAGGTCTCATCAAGTTGCCCAGGCTGGTCTCGAACCCCTGGACTCAGGTAATCCTCTCACCTCCACCTCCCAAAGGGCTGGGATTATAGGCGTGAGTCACCCTGCCCAGTCATATTCTGCATCTTGACAGTGGTAATGTTTACACTGTTGCATACATTTGTCAAAATTCACCAAACTGTACACTAAAAAAGTATACATTTTGCTGTATGTAAATCATATGTCAATAAACTTGATTTTAAAAGTATAATTAGCCATGCGTGGTGGCTCACACCTATAATCCCAGCACTTTGGGAGGCCGGGATGAGAGAATTGCCTGAGCTCACGGGTTTGAGATCAACCCAGGCAACTTGGTGAGACCTCATTTCTACAATAGGTCAAAAAACTAGCCGGGCATGGTGGCACATGCCTGTAGTTCTAGCTACTTAGAAAGCTGAGGTAGAAGGATCACCTGAACCCAGCAGGTCAAGGCTGCAGTGGCTGTGAGCATGCCACTGCATTCCAGCCTGGGCGAGAGTGAGACTCCAACTCAAAGAGAAAAAAAGTATAATTAATAAAACTGACCATCTCCAATTAATGGTTTTATACAACACCTTATTTGGTTCTGGAATTTCAGTTGACACAACTGCTGACTTTAAATGACTTTTCACACATTGGTGCCAGACTTTGGTGGCTCACATGTTGCAGAAATACTCAAGAGAGGTAAATCAGAGTTAGCCAGAAAAGTATTTTCCCATTTGACAGCACTACTTGGCTTGATAGGAGAAACAGGAAAGACCAATTCACATTTACACAGTAATTCAGGAATCAATGTAGAAACCATAGTTATCTAGCACCTTATTTTGTTTTTTTTGTTTTGGTGTTTTTGATTGGAGTCTCACTCCGTCACCCAGGTTGGAGTACAGTGGCACACTCACAGCCACTGCAGTCTCGAAATGCTGGGCTCAGGTGATCCTTCTGCCTCAGCCTTCCAAGTAGCTGGAACTACAGGCACGTGTCACCACGCTAGGCTAATTTTTTGATTTATTGTAGAGATGAGGTCTCAAACCCGTAGGCTCAGGCAATCCTCTCACCTCAGCCTCCTAAACTGCTAGGATTATAGGCGTGAGCCACCGCACCCAGCCCATTTTTTTTTTAATGATTCAAAATCTCACTCTGTTGCCCAGGCTAGAGTGCAGTGGCACGATCACAGTCACTGCAACCATGACCTGCTGGGCTCAGGTGATCCTTCTGCCTCAACCTTCCAGGTAGCTGGAACCACAGGTGTGCACCACCATGCCCGGCTACTTTTTTTATTATAGAGATGAGGTCTTGCCATGATGCTCAGGCTGATCTCGAATTCGTCGGCTCAGGCAATCCCCTCGCCTTCGCCTCCCAAAGTGCTGGGATTATAGGCATGAGTCACCACGCCCAGCTGAGAAAAGAGGACAATTTTTAAAATACAGTATTTCTTCATATCATCAAGGCTATTTTGTGACAGTAATAACAAAACGAAACCTCTTGGGCTAAAAAAGAATAGTCGGGGGGGGACAGGGAGGGCAAGGGTGGTGGGATTAATGGTAGTCAATATCTGTCTGGGGATGGGGGCGAACACCCCTTATCAAGGGTGCCTGAACGATGCATATTTGTATACCTAACCCTTAACTGTACCCCACAATTTTAAAATAAAAAATATGTTTCATTTAAATTAATTAATTAATTAATTTTAAAAAAGAATAGTCAGTGGGCATCAAAGAGTACTAGTTAGGCTTTGACTAATTAATGAGTATCAGTCCCCAACATCTTGGATTATGGATTTCAGTTGAACTTCTGCCTTCAAAGTGTCAAGCCCCTTTCCCCACACCCTTCACTCTGCTAACGACCTTCTCACATAAGACATTGGGTAATAGAAGCAGTCATCTGGGAACTCCCTCATCCTCCTACCCACAAATCTCCAGGCCTAGCTCCAACTATGCCTGATTCTCTGCCTTCTCTATCGCTAACAGGGAATGCAGTGTCCCCAGCACTACTGAAGGCCAATCCCTCCCTGGCACCTTGAATCTCACCTTCTCTAGCCTTCTCAAGGATTTTAGTCTGCAATTCCAGCACTTTGTGCTGCATCATTATCCCCTCTCCTTGATCATTTGTTCTACGATCAGTAGACCCCATGTACCTGATTCTATATGAGTAGCTTTGAGCTCTCCACTGAATTCCAACCATCTACTTGACATCTTGGATAGGTACAAAATATTTAAAACATAACATGGTCAAACACAGAATCCTCGATTACCTCCCTCAACCCTGTTCCTCTCCCAGTCTTACCCATCTCAGTCAATAGCATCACCCAGGATTGTAAGCCTGTAACTTAGGAGTCATCCTTGCCTTCTCTCCTTCACCTGCCACGTCCTATTCACCTGCAAGACCTGTTGGCTCCACCTCTATATTTCATCTAACCTAAGACCCATTATATAAACCTCCAAGAAGAAAACACTACTGAACTACAACCTGCCATCAAATGAATGATGCATGCCAATTTCAGAAATGTGAAAAGATGTTTCAGAATTGCTGAGCTACGACATATTGCATAGTCATCCGAATCTCTCCAACTCCACTAATACCACCCTACTCTAAGCCACAGCCATCACTTCTCACCTAGACTATAATATCAAATTCTTGGGCCTCAGTTGTAAAAGAACCATTTATTTCATAGGGCTATTGTGGAAAGTAAACAAGATAACACCTGCCCCGCCCCCTCCCCGGACTCCTATGGCATCATCCCCATCACAGCAACCATCACACTCTGCTCTAACTGCCTGTTTACATGTTTCTATTCCCCTCCAGAAGGTAAGTTATGCATGGATTTGGGGATGTATTTGTTTCACACTGTTTAGTACAAAGTCAGGATTCAATACATATTTGTTGAATGAATGACTCTCAATGATTCCAAGGACCCTTTTTTATTATTTTCCACCCCCACTCAATGAATCTCAAGTTTTGAAAGGACATTACTTACTAGATCTCACTAATAATCTTCTCCATGTAAAAATGTAATTACATGTATATGCCCATCTATGTGAAAGTTTTGAGGTACAGAGTCAGCCCAAAGTAAAACAAACAAACAAAACTAACAATCTTATCTGCATTCATGAAAATCAGGGAAATAGTGGTCCTAACTTGCAGCGAGGGTGGTGTAGCAACTAGCAGGTTGTTGTCCGGACTCAAGAGCTATCTCCAACCAGAAGCCTAGAATCTGGTCATTACACCTGTAGTTTCAGAAATTCAGGTTTATCAATTATTCACCAAATACTAAAGGCATGACTCCGTTGACTTAATTTGCAAGGGACTAATAAAAAAAGAGCATCCATTTACCTCTAGGGACATTTAATGTCAACCATCTGCCATGGACATTCCCGATTTGGGGGCAGGTGACTGAGGGTCATGGAGTAAGTTATGATTTGACTTTTTTTTTTTGAGTCAGGGTCTCACTCTGTCACCCAGACTGGAATGCAGTGGCATGATCATGGCTCACCGCAGCCTCAACTGCCTGGGTTCAGGTGATCCTTCTGCCTCAGCCTCCCAAGTAGGCTGGGACTATACATCCATGCCACCACACTTGGCTAATTTTTCTATTTTTTGTAGAGACAAGGTCTTGCTATGTTGCCCAGACTGGTCTCAAACTCCTTGGCTCAAGTGATTCTTCCTCCTCGACTTCCCAAATTGATGGGATTATAGGCATGAGCCACCATGCCAGGTCCATTTGCATTTTTTATCAAACATAGTATTAATTTTTTAATTAAATGCTGCAAAAAGCATCTTTTTGCATTTAATTAACTTCATAAAATAGACCTTCCTAGGACTGGTTTCCAAAAATCAAATTAATGAAAAGTATACCCAACTTTATAGCTCTTGGTGCATTTGTTTAATCATTTCCAAAGGGTTGTGTCAATTTATGATGTTAGCAGCATTACTAAAATAAGATTACATATTTTAAATTTGCTAATAGGTAATTTTTAAATTAGAATTTCTTTTTATTGCTTAAGATGTATATTTTCCACCAGGCGCAGTGGCTCACGCTTGTAATCCCAGCACTTTGGAAGGTGGAGGTGAGAGGGTTGCCTGAGTCCAGGAGTTCGAGACAGCCTGGACAACTTGGCCAGACCTGGTCTCTATAATAATTTTTTTTTTAATTAGCCAGGTGTGAGGACACACCTGTAGTCCCAGCTACTAGGAAGGCTGAGACAGAAGGATCGCCTGAGCCCAGTAGGCCGAGGCTGCGGTGGCATGATGATGCTACTGCACTCCAGCCTGGGTGACAAAGTGAGACTCTGACTCAGAGAGAAAAAAAAAAAGCCAGGCGCAGTGGCTCACGCCTACAATCCCAGCACTTTGGAAGGCTGAGGTGAGAGGATTGCCTGACCCCACGGGTTCGACACCAGCTTGGGAAACTTGGTGAGACCTTATCTCTTTTTTTTTTTGAGTTGGGAGTCTCACTCTGTCGCCCAGACTGGAGTGCAGTGGCCGC